AAGCAAAATCATCGCTCCAGATGATATTGACAAGGATTGTGAAGAAAATGATGCCAGAAATATGTATAACTTTTCTAGATAATGTGTTAGATACTCAAATAATTAAAGTAGAATTATATGATATTTCCACAACTAGGGAATTTATAAATGTCATTTTAGATGAATTATATGGGTTACCTCCAGATCGAGAGGTGAAAGTTAAGGTTGAGGGTTATCAAGGTATTGAACATGTTTCTATGATTTCCATATCAAATGACTTAAGCGAGTTAAGAAAATTAGAGGTTTAATTAAAAAAGTCGGTTGATTAAGGTTTCATCAGACCGAGTGTTTCTTTTTGGGAAGTATTTGTATTATTAGCGAAAAGAAAGATGAGTATGTGGTTATGCATAGATTATTAACAGTTAAATAAGGTAACAATAAAGAATAAGTATCATCTTTCGAGGATTGATGATCTGCTTGATCACTGGAAAGGCACAACAGTGTTCTGTAAGTTAGACCTTAGGTCAAGATACCATCAATTAAAGATTTAATAGGAGGATATATCAAAGACAACTTTTCAGACTTGGTATGGACATTATGAAATTGTAGTGATGCCATTCGGATTGACAAATGCTCCTACAACATTTATGAAATTGATGAACCGAATCTTACTTGGATTATTTTTGTGGTGGTATTTATAGATGGTATTTAGGTGTATTCCAAGCCAAGAGAGTTTTGAAATTCTAAAGAGGATTTTAATAAAGGCACCAGTGTTTATACAACTTGAGTTGGGTAAAGATTATGTAGTTGTTAGTGATGCATCTCTTAACGGCTTAGGAAAGAGTGCTTATGCAAAAAGATAAAGTTGTGTCATATTCCTTGATAAAGTTAAAGACTCACAAAAGGGATTACCTTACGCATGATTTAGAGTTGGAAGTAGTCGAGTTTGCTTTAAAGATTTAACGCCTTTACCTGTATGGTAAGCGGTACTATAGTTATGTTAATTGTAAAAGCCTAAAATACTTATGGACTCAAAAAGAGTTGAATCTGAGACAGGTAAGATGAAAATTTCATGATAAGAATTATATAAGTAGTAAATGAAGAGATTAAAGACTTTTGAGGTCAGGTCCAACGAATGTTTGTATTATCATGGGAGACTTTGTATTCCCGACGATGAAGAATTTAAGAAATATATTCTTTTTGGGCATTAAGTCAGTTGAGTATACATTCAGATGGAAACAAAATGTACCAAGATTTAAAGGGTTGGGTTGGTGTCCTGGTTTGAAAAGAGCCATCATGGAAATTGTGGCAAAGTGTCTAACATACCAATAGAGGAAATGTTGTACATCAAGTATTTTCCAGATAGTTTCAATCAATTTCGATTTATGAAAGAAAGGGGAAACAAGCCACTGTGGGCTTTGTTACAAGGCTACCTTTGACACCTAGCAAGAAAGACTTATTATGAGTGATTGTTGATAGATTTATCAAGGCAGTTCACTTCATATTAGTATGAACATATTATTCGATAGATAAATATGATGAATTATGCATATAAGAGATAGTTCGGCTACGTGGACTGGCAATATCGATCATAACGAAAGAGATCCAAGATTCACTTCAAAGAGTTTGGAATTTCTTGCATAAAGTTTTAAGTACTCGATTGAATTTCATTACAACTTTTCATCCGCAGATATATGGGCAGTCAGAATGAACTATTCAGGTATTAGAGGAATATGCTAAGGGCATGTGTGATTGAGTTTAAAGGATCATGGGAAAGGTATTTACCTTTAGCAGAAAATTGTTATAATAACAGTTACCAATCTAGTATTAAGATGGCCCCGTATGAAGCTTTGTATGGGAGGAAGTGTCAAACATCATTGAATTGGTTTGAACTAAAAGATCGAGACCTAGTTGGCCCTGATTTGATGAACGAAATAGAGGAGAAAGTGATTGTTATTTAGGATAATCTAAAGATATCCTCCGATCGATAAAAGTCTTATGTTGATTTGAAAAGAAAAGAAATTGAATTACAAGTGGGAGAGAAAGTATTTTTTAAGGTATTGCCTTGGAAGAAAGTATTATGATTTGGGTGAAAAGAAAATATGAGTCCGAGATTCATTGGACCTTATGAGATTTTGAAAAAAAAATAGGACCAATAGCATATCAATTAACTTTGCCTACGGATATGGACAAGATCCACAATGTTTTTCACATGTCGATGCTTAGAAGGTACATATCAGATCCATCCCATGACATCACACCTGAAGAAATAGAAATCTGACCAGATTTAACTTATGACGAAGAACCAGTGCGAATCTTGGCTAGAGAAAACAAAAAACTATGTAACAAGAAGATTCCTCTAATTAAAGTACTTTGGCAAAACCATAAGGTATAAGAAATTACATGGGAAAGAGAGGAGGACATGAGGAAACATTTTCCACATCTCTTCGTATCATGTACTTCTTAAAATTGGAGGACGAATTTTCTTAAGGGTGAGAATTGTAATACCCCAAATATCAGGCCGGTGATTATATTAAAAAGATTTAAAATTAGAGGATTAATTTGAATAAATGGTAAAGTACAAGAAATGATTTAGAAATAGTGTTTAAGAACAATTAGTAACAATGGATGAATAAAGAGGGCATTTTGGTCCTTTAAGGGGAAATAAATTTAAAATTCATTTTTATTAGGGATTTAAGAAGGGGAAAAGGGGAAAGTTAAAACAAAACAAAGTCATATATTTTTCTTTTTCTTCCCAGTGTTCACGAGCTCTCCCCATAGCCAAGGTAAGTTTTCTTCGAGTTAGTTTATTCTTTAGTTTATGGACAAGTTTTGAAACCTTAAGTAATATAGAGGCTTAAGGAAAGTTCAAGGATGTTTAAAACTAAGTAATTAGTGAAATATTTAAGATTGAAAGAAATGGGTTTTTGAATGATATGTTGGAATATGAGTTTTTATTGATGTTTACTAGTATATTTGACTTGTCAAAGAAGTAAATAAGAGATTAAAGCATTGGATGTGATTAAAAACATGTTAGAAAAAGTGGTATGATTCTTGGTTTGAGATGTTCCTTGGAGATTTTAGATGTTATAAGAAGCTAAATGAAGGAAAGTTAGTTGGGATAAGCAAAGAAGAGTTTAATAGTATTGCTGGAGGTAAACATAAGGGATTTTGACCAAATTTGGGTAAAAATTGAGCTGAAAAATGAAAAATCTGGGTAAGGGTATCGGTACTGGAAGAACAGTACCGATACTATAGGTTTAAATTTTGGAAAATATGATGAACAATATCGATACTGATGCAATTAGTATCGATACTGATGTAGGTAGCGATACTATGAAGAAGGTATCGATACCATGGATTCCAGAATGCAGAAATGATATCAATACTAAATGAAATATCGGTACCATAGTATAGAAGTATAGATACCATGGTAGGGGTACCGATACTATTGAGTTTGGAAAATTAAAATAGGGCGAATTTTTATAGAAATTGAATATAATAGTACTTTTGAGTATTATTAAAAGTATAAATGTTAGAGAGTATACTAACATTAGTATGGTATGTGTACTTAATGGATGCTTGTATAGATCATAACCAAGCTCCCGAGTCAAGCAAGAAAAAGGGCAAAGATAAAGTTGCCAAATAGCTCGACATCCTCAAAGCATACTAACGAGGCATACCAGATGAGTACATTTATTATGTACTTATATGTTATGATAGCCATAGATGCATTTTTCTTAATGTATGTATAACATTTACCAAATGTGCACTATGTGTGTAACTTAAGAAATTTATAATAAGTTTACGAATTTCCGTATTGACACTGTATGTGCAACTTAAGAAATTCATAATAAGTTTATGAATTTATGTATTGACACTGTGGGTGCAACTTAAGAAATTTATAATAAGTTTATGAATTTACGTATTGGCACTGTGTGCAACTTAAGAAATTCATAATAAGTTTATGAATTTCCGTATTGGCACTGTGTGTGCAACTTAAGAAATTCATGATAAGTTTATGAATTTCCGTATTGGCACTGTGTGTGCAACTTAAGAAATTCATAATAAGTTTATGAATTTTCGTATTGTCACTGTGTGTGCAACTTAAGAAATTCATAATAAGTTTATGAATTTCCGTATTGACACTGTGTGTGCAACTTAAGAAATTCATAATAAGTTTATGAATTTCCTTATAGGCTCTATGTGTGCAACTTAAGAAATTCATAATAAGTTTATAAATTTTCGTATTGACACTGTGTGTGCAAATTAAGAAATTAATAAATAGAAATTCATTTGTATTTTGATATTTTGGAATATGCTTATATTTAAGTATAATTTATCTTATATTACTATGCCTCACTAACTAAATACTTAGCGTGTTTTGGTTTCACGCGTAAGTAAAAGCCGAGATTAGAAGTAAAGAGTACCGAGCAACTCCAAGTATTAAGGAATATACAACAATATTAGTAAGACATCTTATGATGGAATTTTTGAATTAGTTTAGTGACATGTACTTACGAATGTCCTATTAGCTCTATTTTAATATTTTGGAAACTGGTTTGTAATAGATTAACTTGACCGTTTTATATTGATTTTAAATATGGATATCATGAACTAGTATTGCTAATCGGAGTAGAAGTGTTTAATATTTTATTAAATGGTTTTATTTAAAGAAAACGAAAAATTTTACTGATTTTCAAGTATAGAGAATATTTCATAAGTCATGTGACATCTGTGACTCGTGTACGGAAATATATACGGTAAATGGGTGTTGCACCATGTATTTCGTCTACTCTCCCTTCCGTTGGAAGTAGTTCAACCTTGACCATTTGAGCGATCACTGCGGCCGCTACCCGACCCTTGCGGTGGCAATTCTTATTGACAAATGGGGCAAGAGTTGTGCTGCTCCAGCCATGGGATGATGCAATCTGAATGATACATGTGATTGCATGGCATCCGTCTGGCTTTAGACGCCGGTTCAAATTTATCTTTACAAACAGGACACTGCAAATCAGAGTAAAGATGCCTCCTAGTTATTTAACAGTGGGCATTACATCAATCGAAGTCTGGGAAGCCGGGGGAGGACCCCTCCGATCATTGGCTGAGAGTTGTTCAAACAAATCCTCTACGGCAGGACCTAAAAAATAATCCTCGGAATAACCTCGTGTTAAACCGATTCCAGGAGCCCCATTGAAAAGAGCTTCAACCCCACCAACCCCAGACAATCTAAAAGGAATTTGTCCACCAAAAATCAACATAGGACCAAGTGCTACATCATGCTCAGGAACCGACTCTGCTCTTCCCCTGATGTTATGGTTAAAATTTCTGTTGACCAATCGCTGCCTCATGAAGACTGAAAAAGCATCCAGGAAACCAAACCTCCCACCTCGATCTTCGTCACCATAAAAATCTGTAGGACCAACATGCACCATTTTGTCTAATTCTTGAACAAATCCCCCACCACAATAGCAACAAACTGCATTGTGCCCTCGAGGAAAACTGCGCACTTGCATATAACACCAACGGGTATTTCTAGGGGTGTTCAGATCCAATCCGATCCAAAAAAAAATAACCGAAAATCGATCCAAAAAAATAACCGAAAATCGATCCAAAAAACCGATAACCGAAAAAAACCGAAACCGATTTAGTGTGTTTGGTTTTTTTTTTAAAACTGATCGGTTCGGTTTCGGTTTGAAAATCCGGAACCGATCCAAACCGAACAGAACCAATGAAATAAAATATTAAATTTATAAGCTTGAAACAAACCCAACCTATAACTTGGTGGTAGAGCATTTGACTATAGATCAAAAGGTCATTGGTTTGAACCTGGTTGGGACCTAGTTTATAATTTTTTTTCCTTTTGCTTTCTTGATAGTACAAACTCTCCATGGGAATTAACAAGGGTATGTTTAGTCGAAAACAAGCTGAGCCATTGGGAAAGAACTCATTTACCAGGAACTCTGTTGCTCCATTGTATAACGATTACAAGCTGAACTACCCGATAGTAGATGTGCTGTTTTGCGGCATATTTGTCTTGAGAATATGCTATAACCACATAGATCCCAACAGTCACAATCATGTATATCCAAGATAACAGGTACACACCAACATTGGTGCTATGATTCGCGTTGCCCAACTGATACACGATACCATACTGGAAGAAGAAGAAACGAAGGTCCAGAATTATCTCTAGTAGCTTTCCCCAAAGGCCTGTTGTTCTCAAATGCTCTTGTTCCTCATACCACCGTATCTCCCAGCTCTTATTGGCTTCTGCTAGTGCGCCACCTTTACACCATATCCAATTCATAAAATCATCAAAATCATACACCGTCTTCAGCCAGTCAAAGCCAGATGGGTTGAACACAAAAGGGGACATTATCCATGACACCACAAGGAACCAACTTGAAATGGTCATAGCTATGTAAACAAATGAATGCTTAGCGAGGGGGCTATACGAAGCATACACAGCTAAGATAACACAAGTTCAATTGCCTTCACAAAATGGATTCGGGCATAAAGTCGATAATTTTCTGCAAAGGACTTATGCTCAGGCATTGATAATACATATGCTATTTTTTTACGAAAAAAATTCAAGAATTATTTTGAAAAATTAGAATCCAAAAACCGCATAAATCCAAACCGAATCAAATCGCACTTAATTGGATCGGATCGGATCATATTTTTTTAGAAACATCCAAACCGCAAACATTTATACTTTCGGATCGGATGAATTTTTAGCCAAAAACCGATCCAAACCGACCGCGAACACCCATAATTTCTTCCGGTCGACATCACACTTCCCTCGTCAAAAAAATCCAAAAAGAAAACCCTCAAATAGTCTTACATACTCCTCAACTTAGCTATTTTTTCATCATAACAGATGACAATCTGAGAAGTGAATATCATCGATGACTTATATCCACTTCAAAGAACTAAAAGAACAAATATGAATTTTTTTCCCTTCGATTACATTTCTCAGTTAAAAATACACGCAAAAAAAATTATGTTGTACAACCATTGAATATTGTTTGATTCATGAAACAACACATAAATGACACAATCCAACATATTACTGGGTTTCGATTTGAAAGGAAAAACAAATTAAATTATCATCTTTAATCAGTGATTTAAATAGCGGTCGGCTACCACAATAGCACTCGTTATATAGCGGTAACAGTGTCATCCGATACTGTTATTGCATGATCGTGATACCAGGAATCAACATAATGCAACCGAAAACACATCTCACAATTTAAATCCTTGCATCTTTTTATGTCTTCTCCCCTATTAATATTAACTACAACATTAACACTATGTTTGAATTAAAGACAAAACATAATCCCTAATTAGAGGTCCATCCGAAAGAAGTACAAAAAAATTCGAGAAAAAAGAGAATTTCTTCCCCATCCATCTCTATTAATTATGCAAATCTCACTCTTTCAATAATGTTTTCTTCAAGAGTGTAGCGGGTATATCGGAAGGCATCGCTACCGCGAAATCGCAGGCACTATCACGATCGTGGAACACGATTTAAAACCCTGATCCTTGTGGTATTTCGATTAAAACCCAATCTTTATTGTCGCCTGGTCGTCGCTCGTTCTACAACCACTGTGGGTAATTTTTTATTCAATTTTTGTTTACTTTTAAGTTGTTTTGGCTGAAATTTTGAGTAGTTATGGACTGATTTTGGTGTTTTGGCATGTCTGGTGTAATCAGACGCCTTCAACCGACCTCATCGCTGCCCTACACGCTAGCATGCGCTGACGTCACGAGTGGGCTTCTCCATTGACTGAACCTTCTAGATATTAAGTCAACTCAGACTGAGTTAACCGAGTCAACTCATACCGAGTCAACCTGTTAACCTGAACAGTTGACCTGGACCCATTGACCAATAGACTTTGACGAGCGTTGACCTTTGACTTTGACCAAAAAGTCAAAATTTTGAAAAGTTATATTTTATTTTTTTCGACATTCTGAGTCCGAATCTAAAGTTTGTTTCACCAAATTCAAACCCGGTAAGCTTTTTTTTGGCATCTTATCTCCCGATTCAATACGAATTTTCAGGTTTATGTTCTGTTTCTAATGTAATTGGTTTTGTCATGTATCCGAGACATTATGGGACGTGAAATTAAAGTTCGAGGGCAATCAAATGGAGTTTACTTGGTTAACCGATATGGCTAAAAAATCGAGGTAATACACTACTAACTTATGTATGCTTTATGGAACATGTTGGCATTGGGTTAATGCATAAATGAATATATTTGGTTACATGTGTGCAATTAATATATTTCTAAACTCGATCCAAATGCGATGAAAAGTAATTAAACTGAATAAGACTTAGATTACATGTATAAGACACTAGAAGACTAATAAAAAATAATTTCAGGTTCAGTGATTAACCGATAAAGCAATCAACCTCATAATCTTTAAATTCTAATTATTTTCGTTAAAAGTTTTAATACTTAAATCCCTGTTTGTAAAGGATTTGTATACATTTCTCCTTTTTGTTAGAACACAATAGACTCCCTAATTTAATCTTCTAAATATGTCTCTCTAAATACTTACTTTAGACCGTGAATCTATGTTTGTAACTAAAGACTTAGCTAATGAAATATGAAATCATCGATAGAATCTGATGATGTATGTCCTACTAAGGAAATCTATGTTTTACCATGCGTCGACCTATTGCATTTATACTCACTCTGTTAATTATCATTTTAGGTTAAAGAGTTTGATCCTGTGTTTTTACCGACATCAATAAAGGAGTTCCACCGACATAGCTTGCGGAGTACAATGCATGTAATTAGGGGTCATGAAGGTTGTATTATGTTTTTATATTCGAGTCTGAAACTTATTTTGTTACTGTATATTATTGAATTCTATTTTTAATATATAAATGATTTTTGAACACATATTTTATCTAAAATTTATTTTATAGTTTTAAATGGATTAACAAAAAATTTAAATTTTTATTGGAATTTTACTGTTGACCGCTTCGGTGGCCCTAATTTGAAACCTCGGATCGGGTCACCTACATTGGTTTGAAGGTGTTACAATTTTGTCCAATTCTTGAACAAAGCCCCCACCGCATCTATAACACCAATAGGTAATTTTCCGTCGACATCACACTTCCCTCGTCGAGAAAATCCGAAAAGAAAACCCTCAAATAGTCTTACAGACTCCTCGACTTAGCTTTTTTTTAGCATAACAGATGACAATCTACAAAGTGAATATCATTGATGACTTATATCCACTTCAAAGAAATAAAAGAACAAATATGACTTTCCTTCGATTCTATTTATCAGTTAAAAATAAACGCAGATTTCAAAGATATTATGCTGTACAACCATTGAATATTGTTTGATTCATGATACAACACATAAATGACACAATCCAACATATTACTGGGTTTTGATTTGAAAGGAAAAACGAATTAAATTATCATCTTTAATCAGTGATTAAAATATCGGTCGGCTACTGCAATAACGCTCGATATATAGCAATAATAATGTCATCCGATATCGTTATTGCATGATACCAGACGCAACCGAAAATACATCCCGCAATTTAAATCCCTCAACTTTTATGTCTCCTCTCCTATTAATATTAACTACAACATTAACACTATGTTTGGATTAAAGACAAAACATAATCCTTAATCAGAGCTCCGTACGAACAAAGTACAAGAAGGCTGAGAAAAAAAAAAGATTTTTTTCCCAACCCATCTCTATTAATTCTGCAAATCTCACTCTTTCAATAATGTTTTCTTTAAGGGATAAGATATACACAGTATGCAATCGATAAACTAAGTAAGTGAAAAGAAAAGAAATGCAATCATTTCAAGCTATAATACCTTCTTCAGCTCAAATTGATCAGTTTTGACCAAGGAGAAAGACAAGCTGTCTTATTTCTTTCTTCCTTAGAAATCATTTAAGAAAAAACATGAGAGAAATCGAATCTGAGAGGCAAGAGAATCAGAGGGAGCTACCTGGAGGAGATCAGAGACGACTTTCCCCAAGAGAGAATCTGTATTTTAGCAGAAGGGAACGATGGGCATCATTTTATCCCAAATTACAGTTGAAACTGGGCTTACGCTGGGCTGCCATGGAAGATTGGGCTAAAGCTTCCGAGAGATTTTTAAGCTGTTTTGATAGAAATGAAAAACAAACAATTAATTATTTGAAATTAAACATTCTCACCTTTAATATTTTTTATATTTAAATCTAAAATTTCAAAAATTAAAAATAATTATTTTACCATCGAAATTGTTTATTTTATGCAAACAATCAATTGCTATAATCATTAAATGGTGTCCTCTCGAATAAACTACTTGAATTGGATATTCATCCAATCGGAGAGTTGTTTTACTTTGCGTCATACAACTCGGGGAAAATTAATTCAGATATCCATGAATGTTATTTGTTGTTTTGTTCATATTATTTAACTTTCAATTTTATTAAGTATAGCATTGAATTGTACTTTTACTTACATTCAATTATTTCATTACGTTGTTAAGTCATTAACAAGACCTGACATGACTAACGTTTAATAATGTGCATGTCATACCAAAACGTCATTGTTTTAAGTTTTGGTACGGTTGTTCTAACACTTAAAACGGTATTATTTTAGACATTGACCTTTAGTGTTATATTAATTTTGTCATTGAACTTTTAAATATATTACTTTTTTGGCATTGTACTTTTTAACCGTCACCGGCAGCCAATCAACGTCCATCACTGATCATCTTTTAAAATAAGATGAGTATCAAAATGTTTGCATTTCACTCCTTATCATTCTCATATGATTAGTTTTCCACGAAACTCAATCAAAATCAACGACATTAAACAAAAAAATCTACATTTTTAGATATTTGAAGACTTTCTTAAATTTACATGATTTGAGGTGTTTGTTCAAAAATTTAAACTATGTAAAGCATTATTTCGAGAAGATGAACGACATACCTCAAAACTAGCCTCATCAGAAGAACATTGAAAGAGATGAAAAACTAGTATTTCAAACTTTTAAATAGATTTTCATTGATTTTGAGTGAATTTCCTGGAAAACAATCCTATGGGAAGAAAGATGAATGAAATATGATCATTTTGGTGTCAATCCTATCACGAAATATGACCGATGACGGACAATACTCAATTGTCAATGGTTGAAAAGTGCAATGCTAAAAAAAATAAAATTGTTTAAAAGTTCAATGATAAAATTGATACTCTTAAAATTTAGTGTTTAAAACAACGTCAGTTTAGGCATCAGAACAACCGTACTAAAACAACATCGTTTTAATGTAACAAACCACTTCAACAATCGTTAACCATGTCATTTTCCATTTACCGATTTAACGATGGTCTGATATAGTCAAATATAAAATTAAAATTCAGTGTTATGATAATAAAATAGAAAGATCAATATTATAATTATAAAATTGAAAGTTTAATAATATAAAAGCCTCTGGACAAAATTCAATAGTATCTAAAATAGTTTTCCCTAACTTTAAATACATTCAATTGAGTCACTGAAATTACATGTTCTCCAAAAATAATAATTACGTCATAATAATAATATTAAATTTAGGGTGAAAATGATGTTTGATATATAAAAAGTATTCAATTGAGTCCATAATATTAGAAATTATATTCGGTTAACCAATGTGATCACATGGACACCTGTAACCTCACAAATACATACTTTATTCAAATATGAAAGACCAGAGATTAGTTTGAACATACGAGATAGTACCCTGCCACGTTGCAAGATTTATCTAGTTAACATTTTGTTCGATGACGAAATTGAGCTCAGATCACTTTTACACAATACAACACAAAGAAAAACAACCTACTTGATGCACACAACTCAGTCAAACGGCCATCCACTATAGCCCATCGAATGATAATGATTGTTCTCGTGCACACCAGAAGGGCTGCTTCCAGCACCTTCATTATGGCTACGGCTATGGTTAGAGCTTGAGCTAGAATTCGAGGAACGGAACGGCCATATGGAAGACCATGGATTCCGTCTGCTCTCCCTTCCACTGGAGGTAGTTCCACTTTGACCATTTGAACGGCTGCTGCCCGGTCCTTGCGGTTGCAATTCTTGTCGACAAACAGGACAAGAGTTGTGCTGCTCCAGCCATGGGATGATGCAATCTGAATGATACATATGATTGCATGCCATTTGTCTTGCTTCAGACCCCAGCTCGAATTTTTCTTTGCAAACAGGACACTGCAAATCGGAGTGAAGATGCCTCCGAGTTATCTTAACAGTGGGCATTGCGTCAATCAAAGACTGGGATGCCGGGGGAGGCCCCCTCCGACCATTAGCCGAGAGCCGTTCAAACAGTTCTTCTAATCCAGGGCCTATAAAATGATTTCCAGCATTTCCTTGTCTAAAACCAATTCCAGGAGCCCCGTTGAAAAGAGCTTCAATCCCACCAGCCCCAGACAATCTAAAAGGGATTTGACCACCAAAAATCAACAAAGGACCAAGTGCTGCATCATGCTCAGGAACTGAAGCTGCTCTTCCCCTGACGTTATGGTTAAAATTTCTGTCGGCCAATTGCTGCCTCATGAAGACCGAAAAAACATCCAGGAGACCAAATCTCTGGTCCCGATCTTCTTCGCCGAAAAAACCCATAGGACCTATATGCATCATATCGTCTAATTCTTGAACAAATCCCCCACCACAGTAGCAGCAAACTGCATCACGCCCTTGAAGGAGGACTGGACGCCTGCATCTATAACACCAATGGGTGTTTCTTCCAGTTGACATGGCCTTCTCGTCCAAAAAATCTGAAAAGAAAAAACCCTCTCACATACTTCAAATTAGCAAAAAAATTTCATCACCACGGATAACAATATGCAAAGTGAACATTATTAATGGTTTCCAAGAACAATATGATTTTCATTCCTTCAATTTTATTTCTCACTTGAAGGATACAAGCAAATTCCTAAGATATTAAGCACTACAACAAACAAATATCAAGATCCAGTAATATTAGAAGCAAAAAAGAATGAAATTGTGATCTCTCCCCCCCCCTCCTCAAAAAAAACTATTCTCATTAATATTAACTTCATCCAAACAATACCAAATTCTCTATAATTCAAGGCATAGAAACAAGATTGATTGTCCATTCCATAAAGCCGTCATTGAATAATACCAAGAAAAAAAAGGACCAACAATTAAACACAAATACATATTCCCTAATCAGAGCTCCATCCAAACAAAGTTCAAGAAGGCGGAGGAAAAGAAAAAGGGGTTTCCTTTTTCAATTTCGATCTTCTAATTCTGCAAATCTCACTCTTTCAATAAATTCTTCAACACGTACAATGAAAACTCAAGAAACTAAGAAAACAAACGAGAAGAAGAAGAAGAAGCCATCCTAAAAGACAATATTTGATGAGGTTAAAGCCATGAATACCTTCTTTAGCCGAAATTGATCAGATCCGACGAAGAAAAACACGAGAGGCAAGAGAATCAAAGGAACCTACCTGGAGGAGTTTCCCCAAAAGAGAGTGATGAGAGTGTAACAGAGAATCGCACGGTGATTTTTGTAAAATGATCCACCAATGGAGAGGAAGGACATCGTCTTATCCGGAATTAACACTCCAGACTGGGCTTACGCTAAGCCTACTTGGGCTGTCATAAAGCTGGGGAAGGTTCTCCCACCATAAAATAAAGGTAAACTAAACAGTTGGTCACTACCGTTTACGTAAGTTTTCATTTCTCCACTGAAATGTTAAAAATAATAAATTGATCACTAACATTATCAATTAATTATAAAATAATCACTTAATGTTACCGGACGTGATATAAAACACAATTGACGCATTAATTACTGATATGAACGAGATTGATTGGGTTGAAAGCCACGTTGGAGACCAACATCTTCCCCTTTAAATAAGAACCCAATCCCTGAACTTAAATTATGAATTTTCATTTCACATCTCTTCTTTAAAATATATATAAGTCAGCGTCTTCCCGAAACCTGTCTCGAGGACCATTGGTAAGGACAATATTAATAATCATCTTAGGCTAATATTTTATGTTTCAAATTATGTAATCGTTTTCAGAGAAAAGAATAAGCAAAGCTTCCATCTGTACATCTGTTGGCACTAAATACCCAACCTCTTCCAGTGTAAAACGACACCGTATGAGTGAGAAACATACAATACCTCCAATTAACAAACCAAAACAAAAAGGGAGGGAAACGGAAGAGAAGCTTGCCTGCATAGCACATAGTCCGGCACGTGGTTCTGACAGACTTCACGAAGAGTTGAAGAATTGGGTAAGCAGAAGAGAGGTTTATTCGATAGTTTTTCCGATAAACAAAGGAGATTGGGGCACGGCTTTCTTGGTTGAAGGAAACGGAAAACCCTAGGTTTTGAGTACGGCGCCGTTTTAGGTATAGAGAGGCTACGTAGCTGAATTTGAAGAAGCCATTTTCGTTTTTCTTTTCTTCAATGAAGGCCAAGGGAATTTGAATGAAGAGTATCAGACCAAAATATTTTATATATCATCCACAGTTCGGATGGGAATTTGAAAAAACTGAGAAAAGTAGAAAGGCAAGCAGAGTTGAAGATGATGGCCATGGCTTTCAACCCAGTTAACCCCATTCATGTCATTGATTAATGCAACCAGTGTGTTTTTCATCACGTCTGTTACTGTAAGTTAATGTTAAGTGGTCAATTTTATAACTAATCGATAATATTAATAATTGATTTATTATTTATAAAATTTCAGTGGAGAAAACGAAAATTTATCTAAATATTAGTGACCAACATTATAGTTTACCCTAAAATAATTGAGTTTAATAAAAATTTCATGCTTTTTTATTAGACCAACGAGTTTAAATAAATATGAATCGATAATTATTTATTTACTTTTAAATCTATTTTTTAAATTTTTAATTAATCTATATTAATTACAAGTGATAGTGTATATTCTAAACTTATCATAGGCTTAATATTAAAATAAGTGCCCAAATTATATTTTTTCTTAAAAATGTATCTAAATAATTTTTTAACTCGTCTCGGTACCTAACGTTTTTTCCCTTACCATTTTAGGTGCCTAACAATTTCTTTATTACCATTTAAGTGTCCAAGTGTTAATCGCCGATAAAAAATCTCATTAAGTGACATTATATTTCAAGAATTTTGAGAATGTTATTTTTTAAATTTAAAAAATTGCACAATTCCAATGCCCCAACCCTCACCCCTAGGGGTGTAAACGAGCCAAGTCGAACTCGAGTATTGTTGAACTCAACTCGAACTCGAAAACTTTAAACATAGGCTCGACTCGACTCGAAAACTCGTGAGCTAAAAATTATGAAGCTCAGCTCGAACTCGAAATATATTATTGAAACTCGACTCGAACTCGAAAAGACTCAAACTCGAAAAGGCTCGAACTCAAAAAAAATTTAGGAGCTCGATTGAAGCTCGATTTTGAGCTTGATTCAAGCTCGAACTCAAACTCGAATTTTAACCTACAAAAAACTTATATTACATTTAAAATATATAAATAATTTTCCCTTTAATCAACCATCACCAATACATTATAATATGAATGTATGAACTATAAAAAATCTAAAATAAAAATAAAAATACAATTACAAGAAATTTAGGATAATTAATATAAGCTTTGAAGTTTTTAAACTTCAAATGTATTGAAAGTTTACAAAATATGGCAACAAAATGGAAATTTATTTAATTTACCCTTACATACAAAAGGTGGAAATAAAATCTAGACCACATGCTACTTCAACCATTTATTTAATAATATTCATTTACTTTCAAATAACTCAAAGCAGAAATGAGAATGATCCTGATGAATTTTTTATCTACTTTTCACAATCTTGTGTTATTCTTGATAATACATTCTTTAACCGATCTAGGAATAAAAAAATTAGGAAAATGCATAAATGAGAAGTGAACACATAATTTAAAGACAAATCATTTGATATATAAATTTCCAGTGTATTGAATGAAAACTAACTTACAATTAAGAGATTCAGTTGAAGTGTTTGCACTTGAATTCATGTTTTGCAGACCAAATGTTTCAAATATATAATGGAAAAACAACTCAAATAATTGGCATATGCCCTGCAACAATGTACTGAATCTGAAAAAATAATTTAGAGGGAAAAGGAAAAATAGTGTTCAGATTGTATGCGCATCTGAGAACGTAGAGCTTAGGAAAAGAGCGGTTTAACCAGTACACACCTTAAAAAACAATGATACATCATCCATTTGATAACCAAACCGAACAAAAATGAACCGGTGAGAAGGCAACCATGACTTGTTTGTAGAGGCTTGAAACAAATAAAATAATTTAATGATAATACGTTTTGAGGTTATCATATATGAAAAAAACAATGCATAAATCATCTAGAAAGTTGAAATCAATGACTTCATACATGCATCAGGTATCAAGAACAAGGGACAGAGAATAAATAACTGACAGTTAAATAGCATTCTTCTTTAAACTCCTGGCAAACTCCTAACAAGAGCGAATACAACTTTTGAAGGAATATTTATTTAAAGATAAACAAAGTCATAAACTCATAAACAAACTCACTAGAGGGGAAAGGTATTGTTCGGTCGTGGGAGGTATATGTGAGCAACGAGGAAACTGTAATGGTCAGTTTTTAAGTGGCAATTAACCACTGGGAAAAAGATAATCACATACAAAAAAAAGAGGAATGAGCCGAGGGACAGCAGCGATTAACCAAGAAAACAGAAGCATAAAAAACCGTCCCCATTGATTCTTTTTACAAGAATAGAAAAACATAAGGAAGGAATTTGTATTGTATTTTCCTGCTATTTGAGGATCAAAAGAAACAGAGAAGCATTTTTTTTTCATCGAACCCAAGCAATACACAAAATCAAAAGGGTATTTTTTTTAGTTTCTATTCTCCGTTGCTTTCTTAATTTTCTTGTGTATGCATATGTTTTGAATCTAAACCAAGTCAAAGGCATAAAGGAGATAGCTTAAACGTTTACCTTAGTTGTAGTTCATCCCGCTTTGCCTCCTAGCCGTTTGAGCCTCACTGTCAAAATAAGGGGTTGTGTTAGTCAAAAATAAGTTCATTATAAAATAAGAAAAGGTGGGTCTTGATAGTTTACCATGCAGTGCGTCGGAGTTTAGAGTCGAACTAGTCGACCTTGGAAGTTGGGGGTTGTTATATGCAGTCTTAGTGTTTGGGGGTTTTAAAATAGTGAAGATAAGAGAGTTTAGGGTCAGCTAGGCTCGTGTTTGGGTTAACCAGCCGTCGCTAATGGCGGTCGGAGTGCTTGGTTTTGAGTTTTCACGGTGACATTGCTAGTGATGGGGATAGGGTTCTGTTTTCATGGTGGCTGAGGGTTTTGAGAGGGTTTCCGCTGAACCTTCAAGCTGATAACTAGGGCCATTATTCATTTTAATCTTTATTGAGATGTTCGCTTTATTCAAGAGACTAATGTGTACAAAGCAATAAGCAGTGAAAGACAACAGATATCATAGCAAAATATATCTAAGTGTCACTATCTCATAGACAATGCCAAACCATGTTAAAATATCTAGGGAAAGAGAAATGACTGTACATACCTTCAAATCCCCAATCACAGCTTTGAGTTGCTCATTCTCATTCATTAGCTTTGCAATTTCATCAGCTTTTGCCTGAAAATGAAATAAATTGAAACTCGAAATTCAAGAACCATAAAACTTTAACAAGAAAGGATAATAATAAAACAAGATTTTATTTCTTTTGTGCCACACATATTGGACACATGTAGCATAAGACACCATGATAAAATGCATAAATAAATAGTAAAATTCATGGCCAAATAAATCAGAGGAATATAAGCAACCCTTCTAAAGAAAAGTTAAAAATATAACAACAATTTTAAAAATTAGTTATTAAAAATATTATCATTAGAAATATATTAAATATTTGTTATTAGATAAATAATTTTTTATTCAAAAATATTTTTTAACCATTTCAATTTTTCTATTGTTTGGCTGTTTTTTTTTATTTTTTTATTTTATTTTTCTACGTTGGCAAGTACTTATGCAGTAAAAAGTTAAAAAGAAAAGAAAAAAAATCAACCAAACACGTGTAATCTAACATGTGCTTAATTAAATGAGCTTTTATTTTTCTTTTAGTAATATACAATGTAACAATTGGACTTGGGTTGGTTAATTAAAAAAATTAAAATTTGAGGGTAGTTGTATTATAGAATTATTAATATATTTTTAAAATTTTATAATTGTCAATAATGTATTTTTAATATATTTTTAATAATGTAATTTTAAAAAATCTCAAAATTATAATCTAACATTTTCTCGAGCTGCTCACGAGCTTTTCGAGACGAATATCGAGTAGCTCGTTTTGGCTCGTTAAGAACTCGAGTCGAGCTCGAGCTCGAGTCGAGTCCATTCGATCCGAGTATTTATCGAGCCTTGATCGAGTCGATCTCGAGTAATTTGCGATATGACTCGTTTCATTTACAACCTCACCCCACCACATTCCCCCTCCCCTTCGCTGTGCTCTCCTCATCAAGCCCTTCGCCAGTGTGCTCTCCCCATCATCCCATGCTTCAATTAATTAT